CTCTGAGGTGTCACACACCTGCTCACAAGGCCTGCCTCACCTGTGTGGACGGGGGTGAAGATGAGCCACATGGCCGAGTGAGAGCTGACGGGCGGGTCAGGGGCTGGGTGGGCTGAGTTGGGAGGGAAGTGAGCTCTGGGACGTGATGCTGGTCTCCCACAAGCCCCCTTGGCAGTAGCCACTCTGGAACGTCGCTACCGACGCGGCAGCCCTCCCTGCTTCAGCGGCAGCGAGCTGGTGTCCTTCTTAGCCTCCTGGGAGGCGACAGCTGCTTGGCGACAACTGATGAGAGCCTCGATCCTTCTGTGTCATGGGGACCGCCGGGTGTGGGCTTGTAAATATAAAGGGGCGAGCACTGAGGGCCCAGTTCCTCCGAAACTCACACCCTGGAGTTGGAGTGGGGTTCTGCAAATTCTGGGGCCCCGGAGAGTCCGCAGAGCTGTGTTGGGGAGTAGTCTGTTGTCCTCCAGGCAGGGGTTGGGAAGCGCTCTTCAGCTTATAAGGACGAGACTTGGCCGTGCTTTTGGAGGTGGCTTCGGCCGCACCCAGACTCTTTAGCCACATCTCGTGATGTCCCAGCTCATGTAGCTGGCAGCTTTATTGCCTGCTCTTTGAATTGGGGTACTTCTGTCCTGCCCAAGCTTGAGTGTAGTTAGGAAAGTACAGAGGCATTGTAGAAAACTTGGGAGCCCATAAAATACAATGAAAATCAGCAGTTGTAAACACTGGTTGACGGGGGCCACCCAATGGCATTGTGGTTAAAGCTGCTGGATACCACATGGCCACGTGCATGGTTCGAGTCCTGGCCCTGGCGTTAGGAAACACGTGGGGCATGTGTGCATGCTGCTTCAAATCCTGCAGGGAGAGATGGAGAGGGGTATGATGTGACCAGTTCCCATGGGGCATTCTTTCTCTTCTCTCTCTTTCTCTGGCTCTCTGGTGAGCACACATGCCTTGTGGCAAATGAAAGAAAAACAAAAACTGATATATTAGTTGCATTTCTCTGTGGACATATGTAAATAGTGACTGGTTCGTTAGCTCCATGGCCTCCAGGAGTATCAGGAAGAAAGCTCACATGTTTGAACAAGAAATCTATTTTCTTTAAAACTAAACAAAACATTTATTTATCTACTTATTTTGGGGGTTTATCAAGCTGCTGGGTCCAGGAATTGAACCATAGTTGCCATGTGGGAATCCAGCTCCCCAACCACGAAGCCACCTGCTGGCCCCAAGAAACCCATTTTCTTTTATTTTTTATTAGATTTTTGCTGTAGGGAATGTGTGCTTGCTAGAGACAGAGAGAGAGAGACAGACAGACAGACAGAAAGCAAGAAATCACCCCTCGGGGATGACCACACCACGACCCCTTCTCCATTCTGCTCTCGGGCATACACTCATGTGCCTGGCATGAGTTTTAAGTCACCAGGTCTGGGGCTCCAACTGCGGTTGACTATGTGGGAGTCAGCGATGTAACCCCTATGCCATCTGCTGGTCCCAAGAAACCCATTTTTTTCCTTAACAATTATTTCATTTAGCTTTATTTATTTATTTTTTAATTTGACCACAGAGGGACAGAGTGCGAGAGAGAAAGCGAGAAAGCAAGTCACCAGGTCCAGGACTCAAACTGTAGCCCTGTAGGAGTCCAGTGTTCTTAACCACTATGCCACCTGCTGGCCCCCTGAGAAACCCCTTTCTTCCTTCCTTCCTTCCTTTCTTTCTTTCTTTCTTTCT